AGAGATATTGAGGCTTTGATCAAGAAACAGGAGGCATACGTCAGATATGGACAGCTGGAAACAAGTGAATCTCTTGAGGACTACAGGGGATTTGAAGTACACTTATGATGGAAATAAGGAGAGCAAACAGGGGACATGAGATAGCTTTGGCAGATAGGTCAGAAATCACACGACACCAGGTTATGGTCCAACAGGTTTATTTGAAAACACAAGCTTTCGGAGCCTCGCTCCTTCTTCAAGTGTTAGTGAGAGAGGTAGTATCAGACAAAATTTATAAGTAAAAGATCAAAATGTCCCACTACTGATGAGGATGTATTAAACAAACCTAACAGACTCTCTCTCTCTCTCTGTCTCGTGTGTGTGGTTTGTGTGTGTGTTTTTGACCTAAAATGTCACCTCTTCTTTACATTGATAAAGCCTTTAGCTCTCTCAGGACAGTGACTCGAAAGGAATTCGGGGATTTACATATATATATTAATCAGTTAAAGCCTTCTAACTGATTAAAGATTTAACAGCATCTTAGGTTTGTTTAATACATCCTCATCAATAGTGTGACCCTTTGATCTTTTCCTTATAAATTCTGTGTCTGATTCCACCTCTCTCACTAACACCTGAAGGAGAGAGGCTTCAAAAGCTTGTGTTTTCAAATAAACCTGTTCGATCATAACCTGGTGTCGTGTGATTTCTGGCCTTGTTCACCCATTCCAAAACTGGCATGTCCACATTTTGGCAGATAGGGTAAAGGAAAATTCAAAGAGATTCTACAGGTATATTAAGGGCAAAAGAGTAACCAGGGAGAGAATAGGGCCCGTTAAAGATCAACGAGGCCATCTTTGTGCAGAACCACAGGAGATGGGTGAGATCCTAAAGGATATTTCTTGTTAGTATTTACCACAGAGAAAGACATGCAAGCTAGGGAACTCAGGGAAGTAAACAGTGGTATCTTGAAAAAGAGGTGGTGGTTCTGGAAATCTTAAAATGTATATGTAGATTAATTCCCAGCAGCTGATCAAGTGTATACCAGGACCTTGTGGAACACTAGGGAATGTGAGGTGCAGGGCCCATAGCAGAGTTAGTTGTATCATTGGCAGCTACGGATTAAGTACCAGAAGCCTAGAAGATGGCAAAAGTTGTGCCATTACTTAAGAAAGGCTGCAAGGAACAGCCAGAGATCTACATCCCAGTGAGACTGACATTAGTGGTGTGTAAGTTGTTGGAGGGGATTCTGAGATACAGGATCTACATGTATTTGGAAAGGCAAGGACTGGTTATAGATGGTCAGTATGGCTTTGTATGTAGGAAATTGTGTCCTAAGTTTGAGTTTTTTAAAGTGGTGACCAAGAAGATGGATGAAGGCAGAACGATAAACGTTGTCTACACAGACTTTAGTAAGGCCCTCAGCAAGGTTCTGCATGGTAGGCTGGTTAGATCACATGCAATCCAGGAAGAGCTAACTGATTGGATAAAAAATTGGCTTGACGTTAGCAGACAGAGGATGGTGGTAGAGGTTTATTGTTCAGGCTGGAAGCCTGTGAATAACATTGTGTTGCAAGGATTGGTGCTGGTTCCACTGTTGTCATTTATATAAACAACTTGGACTAGAATATAGGAGGCGTGGTTAGTCAGTTTGCAGATTACACCAAAATGGTAATATAGTGGACAATGAAGAAAGTTATCTAAGATGGGATCTTGATTAACTGGGCCAGCGGGCCAAGGAATGACAGATAAATGTGAGGTGTTGCATTTTGAGGACTTATACAGTTAATGGTAGGGTCCTGGGGAGTGTTATTGAACAAAGACGTAGGGACGCAGGTACGTAGTTCTTTGAAAGTGGCATCACAGGTAAACAGGGTGGTGAAGAAAGCAAGAGTGACAAAAGCCTTCATGGGTAAGAACATTGAGCACAGAAGTCGGGACGTCATGTTACAGCTGTACAAGGTCACATGTGGAAAACTATATATAATTCTCTACATCGGGGAAACCAAGCGGAGGCTCGGGGACCGCTTTGCAGAACACCTACGCTCGGTTCGCAATAAACAACTGCACTTCCCATTCCTCAGACGACATGTCCATCCTGGGCCTCCTGCAGTGCCACAACGATGCCACCCGACGGTTGCAGGAACAGCAACTCCTATTCTGCTTGGGAACCCTGCAGCCCAATGGTATCAATGTGGATTTCACAAGCTTCAAAATCTCCCCTTCCCCCTACCGCATCCCAAAACGAGTCCAGCTCGTCTCTGCCTCCCTAACCTGTTCTTCCTCCCACCTATCCCCTCCTCCCACCTCAAGCCGCACCCCCATCTCCTACCTACTAACCTCATCCCGCCCCCTCGACCTGTCCGTCCTCCCTGGACTGACCTATCCCCTCCCTAACTCCCCACCTACACTCACCTTTACTGGCTCCATCCCCGCCTCTTCGATCTGTCTGTTTCCTCTCCACCTATCCTCTCTTCTATCCGCCTTCCCCCTCTCTCCCTATTTATTTCAGAACCCCCTGCCCCTCCCCCATTTCTGATGAAGGGTCTTGGCCCGAAACATCAGCCTTTTCGCTCCTATGATGCTGCTTGGCCTGCTGTGTTCATCCAGCTCTGCACCTTGTTGTCTCAGATTCTCCAGCATCTGCAGTTCCTACTATCTCTGATATAATTCTTGTCACCCTGCTATAAGAAGGATGTTATTAAACTGGGACGATCGCAAAAAGGTTTACAAGCATGTTACTGAGACTGGAGGGTTTCAGTTATAAGGAGGGGCTGGATAGGCTGGGACTATTTTCTGTGGAGGGTAGGAGGCTGAGGAGTGACCTTTATAGAGAATTATTAAATCATGAGGGGCGTATATAAGGTGAATAGCCAAGATCTTTCCCCAGAGTAGGGAAGTCCAAAACCAGGGGGCTTAGGTCTAAAGTAAGAGGGGAGAGATTTAAAAGAAACCCAAGGAGCTATTTTTTCACACAAAGGGTAGTGTGTATATGACCCGAGCTGCCATACAAAGTGGTACCGGCAGGTCCAATTACAACATTGAAAAGACATTTGGGCAGGTACACGGATAGGAAAAGTTTAGGGATATAAGCCAAACGCAGGTAAATGGAACTAGTTTAGTTCATTGGGACATGGTCAGCATGAACAAGGTGGGTTGAAAGGCCCATTTCTGTGCTGTATGACTATGACAGCAGCCTCCCATAAACAGCAACTGAAAATAGCTGGAAAATAATGATTTTTTTTTTAAATGCTGCGGACCAAGGGGGAAGGAGCAGCAAGTGGAATAGTTGGTGAGGATGCCCAGAGCAAAAGTCAAAGGGAATGCTAATAGGGGCAGAAGAGAGATAGTTGTGAATAGCAGAAAATAGGTCAGCTTTACTGAGAGCAAAGCCATACAAAAAGACACAAGGGTGTGTAATCAAATGGAGATCCATGATCATGCTCCAAAGTTGTTGAACTCAATGTTGACTCCTGAAGATTGCAAAGTGCCAAAGCAGAAAATGAGCTGTCTTTCTCTAGCTTGTGTTGGGCTTTGCTGCAACACAGTGCGAGGTTCAGGACAGAAATGTTAGCATCAGAAATATGATGCAAATGCAGACAGAGTGAACGTATTCTCCGAAGTGGTCACCCAGTCTTGCTTTTGGTCTTACCAGTGTAAAGGTGTCCACATTATGAGCAGCAAATACAGTACACTTGTTAGATCTCAGCTGGAGTATTGTGTAGTTATGGGAGCCACGTTATAAGCAAAGATGGGAAGGCATTGGAGAGAGTGCAAACTATTTGCAAAGACTCTAGGAATAAGAAACTTCAGTTTTCAGAACAGATTGAAGAGATTGGAACTGTTCTCTTTGGGGAGAAAAAGGCTGGAGGAGAGGATTCCAGCTCTGGGTGACCATATATGGAGTTTGCATATTCTCCCATGTCTGTGTGGGTTTCCCACCTAGTCCAAGATATGTAGGTTAGGTGGGTTGGCCATGCTAAATTACCCCATGATTCTGGGTGGGATGCACTTCAGACAGTCAGTGCAGACTCGATGGGCTGAATGGTCACTGTCCACACTGAAGGGAATCTATGATTCAATCTCCTGCAGTTCTTGCACCTCACCTGGCTCTCTCAGATATGCCATGTAATATTAGTTCCCATATTTACTTTGGCCTGTGGAGGATTGAAATTTAGATGAACAGTCTTCCCTGATAGAAAGGGTATCAGACAAACACCTGTCCAAAATCTATCCATTCTTGAGAGTTAAAATTATTTTGGAGTTTTAATTGACTTATTTAGGGAAAGTAAATGAACAAATTATGCAGTACCTTTCCTGTCAAAGCACGAGGCGCAAGACTAATTCCTGGATTCTGTGGTCTACGTAGAATCTATTGGTACTCATTTTCCAGAGACATCATATAGAAGTTATAACTGTGTAGGGGACCTCTTAACATGACAGTCAAAGCACAGTGCGCTGGTGGGATATGGGAAACCTTTATTAAATCTCAATCATGTTCCATAATGGCATGTGCGGGCACAGAATTTTTACTCCATACATTTGATAAAGAAGAAAAATAAAATAAAAATGAATGGAATTTGAAATAATTTAATTTTAGTCTGTTTTGTTTTTTGAATTTGGGTCTCTCTCTTTGAGGCACCTTTGACGTCCCTAGAGCAGAGGCTAAAAGTGTAGATGGTATCCTGTTCAAAGTCCTTTTGAACTACAAACTAAAAATACTCATTAGCAAATGCAGAACAAATATAGTTCCGTGATACTCCTTCCTGATATAACTAATCTCATGATGCTGTGACCAGTAAGGGAACTATTACTCAACCAGCTATTGGAAACAATGAATTATTTTTTATAATAAGATTACCAGAATACAATGACAAAGGATAGGTTTTGATTTTTCATTTCAAGTAAATGAGATAACCTGATTTACTGTACAGTATACCTATGTTTCTCTTATACTGAATACTTTGAAACTGGTTATATTTTTAAAAATTTACTGTGGTTTAAAGTGACATTCCATGTTGCAGACATTACTTTGCTGGACAAAGATGAGCTGGATCTGTACGCAGGACAATATTCTGAAATAGAGTCAACATATGTCGATCTCAGCAGAAAGAAGCCAGATAAGGAGCATGAGATAATACGCCCTCAGCAGAGCCTATCAGAGACCCCAAAGTACTGTACGATTAAAAGTCATGGAGAAAATAAACCAGAAATACCCCCAGAACCAAATGCTGAAATGAATTGTTCTCAGCTGGGTTCAACAGCCACACTAAGAAGGAACACTGGACCATTGTTCAAGTTCTCGCACAGATCATGTAACATGCAGACACCTGAAACAAAACATATTGTCTCTATGAATGAGGTTCCGGATGACATACAGCATTTGAACGTGGATGAGGTCTGTGACTGTTTGAATTTACTAAACATGGGAATGTACATTGAGATCTTTCAGTCACAGCAGGTTGATGGCCGATTGCTTTTTGATTTGGACAGAGACATGATGCTCAACACATTTGGGATGAGTAATTTTCACATCGTGAAATTAATACGTTTCCGTGAAGGATGGAGACCAAAGTAACAGAGAATGGTTTCCTCCTTTAGAAATCTTGCAATGAAGTGTACTTTGAAGTGTCAATAATCAGAAAAAATACAGTATTAGTATTATATAACTTTCCACTCGGCATCTTTGGTGAACAAACAAGCAATTATTTGTAAAGTGAAAGAATCTGTAAAATTATTGTAATAATTTTGAAAATGCCACCAACATCTGTATCTCAGCTGAAAGGTTAATTTGAAATGTTAATTAAAGAACTGACTGACTGGAATTTCATGAGGCCACTGTAATTTTTTGCGTGAGTACTGTGGTTGAATACCAATTAATTTCGCTAGAACAAGGTTGCTGATTTATAGCTCTTATGGCAGTAGTGCCCATTTACAAATCCAAAATCCATTTGAGGTGCATACATTTTCTTTGTTCTTCTGCACAAAATTACACAGATGACATCACAGATAATATATAGAGTACCTCCTGATGGTGAGCTATACACAGAGACACAAGAAATGGAAGGGATGCCACAAGAAATGGAAGGGATGCAGCAGGGACCATGGACACTTGGACTTCAATATTGGTGCACACACTTTGTACATGCTGTCTGTGTTGCCAATTCTCAGCCTTTTCTTCCCACCCTGTCACTCAATCTTTCTGTTTCCACACTGACGCGAGTTTCCTAAATACAGAAATACTGCAGAGCAGTTAGCTAGCAATTTACCTATTGCATAGCTTTCATGAACATAAAGACTCAGGACACTATTGATGGAGAGGAAGGGGAGGTAGTTGAACCGAACAAAAGGTCCCAGCTCAAATATAAACGCCGGAGAGCTCGAAACTGCCTGCAGAAACTTCAACTGGAGGGTCTGCTGCAATGACCACCCTCACGCTCACGCTTAGCCTCTAGCACGCTCAGCTTCACCAACCCACACAAACATCACTGCCAAGTACAGGTTAAATGTTGAGGAGGAACAAGTAAAGGGCAGTAGGGGAGAAGAAATAAAGATCAATCAGATAGTTTATTCACTACCTATAAACCTCAACTCCTGTTCAGGAAAAAAGAGAGCATGAGGAGTGGTATAGAATGGAAACAAGGCAAAGCCAGATCAGAACTTGTGACAATACTGTGACCAAAGAGAAGGTCTGAGTGACAGTTGTCCAGGGCTAAGCCAAGATTGGGGAAAAAAAAGGGCCATGACTCCAAGATCCAGAATTCACATGAGCATAAAGGAACACTACGTACAGATTCCTGATGATTAAGGCAGCATACAGAATACTTTTCCAAAGTGAGGCAAAGAATAGAGAGCAGGAAAGCAATGCCAGAACTATAAAAACTAGTTCAGCCGTAGCTATGAGTACTGTGTAGAGTTTTGATACCATATTTTTGGAAGGACGTGACTGCATCAGAAAGGGTACACAGATGCATGGGGATTTTGGTGCAGTATAGAATTTTAATCATGCGGAAAGATTAGAAAGGGTAGGATTTTTTCCCTTAAACACAGGAGGTTGAAGAGCGATTTAATGAGGTATATAAATCTCAGCTATTTGTTATTTGAAGGTAAAGTAATCAGTGGAACGATTAGAAAGGAGTCAAGCAGAAATATTTTCATCTAAAGGTGCCAGAAGTCTGGAACGATGCCTGAGGCTGGCAGAGATATAAACCCTTACCGACGGTGTTAAGAATCAGCAGCAGGCAAGTAAGCTCAGGTTGGATCCCACTTTCTCAGACAGCAAACATTAAGTGAAGTCTTTCTCTTAACTAGGAATTCAAAATGTACCAAATTGCAATTCTGTTGATAGGATTTGATGCTTAGTCTGGACGATTAGTCCACGCTTTCCCCTCACCACACCAACGCTTCCCAAACCCATTCCGTTCCCACACACAAAAGTTGGTCTTAACTCCCAGTTGTCAATCTCCTCTTCCATCATCCTCCTCGTCTCATGCTGACCCTGCCCTCCCTCACCCCCTCTCAACACTCCGTTCCACCTCCATCCCATCCCCACCCTCCGCTCCTGCACCCCATCCCCATCCCCTCTGCTCCCCCCTCCCCAATACTTCCATCCAACTCTCCCCTCGCAAACCCACACCTCCCACCAACACACCCTCACCACCCCCCTCCCCAGTGCCCCCATCCCCTTTCGCCACCCTCCATCTTCCCTCCCCCGCAAGCCCCATCATTCGTTAAACTCGTTCGGGGCACAAACTTTTTCGGATTCAGACCCTCCTCTCAGCAAGTTCCAGAACGGCGACGAACTTTCCAGAAAGCTCGGGAGAACAAGCAGCTTCCTCATCTCCATGGCAACCCGATACCAACGTCACGCCCTGTAGGGGGCTGGGACAAAGGGAGGGCGCGTTGACGGGAAGGGGCGGGGCCAATGCGTACGTAAGGCGTGTCTAAATGTACGTGGGGCGGGGCATGGACCGGTGTTTACATCGAATGGCTATTAGGGGGCGTGACGGAGGCCCGCAGGGGGCGTGGCATAGGCTGTGGTGGGTGGAGCCGATCTAGAATTTTCTGCCGCTCCAGTTTAAATGGCAGGACCAGAAGCGCGCGCGCGCCCTTGAAGGCAGTGGGTACGTCTTTAGGATCCGATCATCGTTGGTTGCGGGCGCTGGCTTCAAATCATAACAAGAATCAAACAGCGGTCTGTGATCCGATATTAAAGGGTGAGTGTTTGGACGCGTTACCCCGGCGTCCCCCCCCCCCCGGGGTGGGGGTCATCACAAGGGCGGTGACCGGCCTTAGTTATGGTGAACAGTACTCGCTCTCCTGAGTGTTGCTACTGTATAAGATATTTCATTTCCATCCAGGAGCAAGAACATTGTTAATGTGGAATAATTGAGTGAGTGGGGTACATTTAAAAGAAGAACTTACTATTTTTAAAACTTCATTTATAGGGTAGCCATGGTGAAGGAGACCGGTTACTATGATATCCTGGGGGTCAAACCCAGTGCTGGTTCTGAAGAGATCAAGAAGGCCTATCGGAAACTGGCCCTGAAATATCACCCCGACAAAAACCCAAATGAAGGCGAGAAGGTAAGGTAGAAAAATAGAACAGAAAATCAGACAGGCACTGGTGACACGGAAACTTCCAGAACATTCCTTCTACTCAGCGTGAATATGCGAGGTTGCGATCTCAAACCCTTTCAAACAAACCGAGTGGTCTCATCACCCAGACTTTCATCCTGGCTCTTTTGCTCCAGAATGTTCAAACTGATTGCAGATTCTGATGGTAATATATTATTTTTGTGTTGATTTATTACCTTAATGTGCCATACTCCAAAGCAGCAATGAGTACTTGAACAAAATTCAAGAGTGAGCTGCTAAATGGATCATAGATCAATCATAGAATCCCTACAGTGTGGAAACAGGCCCTTCGGCCCAACAAGTCCACACTGAACCGTGGAGCATCCCGCCCAGACCCATCCCCCTATAACTCATCAAATCTACACCTCCCCAATCCACCTAACCTGCACATCTTTGGACTGTGGGAGGAGACCAGAGCGCCCGGAGGAAACCCATGCAGACACAGGGAGAATGTGCAAACTCCACACAGACAGTTGCCTGAGATTGGAATTGAACCCAGGACCCTGGCGCTGTGAGGCAGCAGTGCTAACCACTGTGCTGCAGTGCTGCCCTGTTAAGAATGAGGTGGTGGTATCCTGGTAATGCCACAGGACTAGTAATCCAGAACCCAGGCTAATGTTCTGGGAGCATGGGTTTGAATCCTACTATGACAGGTGAAGTTTGAATTAAGTAAAAATGTGGAATTAAAGACTAGTCTAATGGCAGCCATGTCATAGAAATCCATCTGGTTCATTAGTACCCTTTAGGGGATTTGCTAAATTGCCCACAGTGTCCAAGATTGTGTAGTTTAGGTGAATTGGCCATGGGAAATGCAGGGAAAGGGTAGGGGTGGACCTGGATAGGATGCTGTTTGGAGAGTCAGTGTAGACGTGTTTGGCTGAAATGGCCTGTTTCTGCACTGTATTGATTCTATGAAAGATATGGAGCCTCTTGAAAAGAGGAGCAAGCTGAGGTTTTGAGGGAATCCTGGCTGAAGGCATGACTACTAATAACAAAATAAACTACAATGTTCAAGAGTCCAGAGTTAGCTGAACATGGCTCTCCATAGAAACCATAGCAATGACGGTGCAGAAGAAGGGCATTCAGCCCATCTTGTCCATGCTGACCTGAAGACACCCAGATGCCCTTTCTAATCCCATCTTCCTGCACATAGCTCATTACCCTGCAGCTTACAGCACCTAAAAAGGTAGAGATTCACTTTTTTTTTAAAGAGTTTAGGGTCTCTGCCTCCACCACCAATGCAGGCAGCAAATTCCAGGTGCCCACTACCTCTGTCTACAGATGTTCTTCCTCGCATCCCCTCTAATCCTGCTGCCACTTAGCAATTATGTCACCCCTCAGCTTTCTGTATTGCAAAGAGAACAGCCCCAACCTTTTGAATATCTCCTCGTAGCTACGCTTCTCTGGCGTGGCTGAATTCTAGTAAATCATCTCTGCATAATCCCCAGAGCAGTTATGTTCTTTCTGCAGTGTAGTGACCACAACTGCGCACAGTGCTCCAGTTGTGGCCTCGCCAATGTCTTGTGCAGTTTCATTATTTATATCTCTACTCTTGTATTCTGTACTTCTGTCAATGAAGGAGAGCATTCCGTATGCTGCCTTTACAAACTTATCTACCTGTACTTCTACCTTTAGGGACCTGTGCACCTTCATGCCAAGATCTCTCACTTCATTTACCCCTTTCGGTATATTCTCATTTATTGTGTTTTCTGTTTTATTGTTTGACCTCCTTAAATGCAGTACCTCACACTTAAGCAGAGTTGAACTGCTTCTGCCACTACCCATTCCAGAAACTCAGCTAGATCATTTTGGAGCTTATAGCTATCCACTGCAGGGCCACTTTTTGTCATCTGAAAATTTCCCAGTGTGCCTCTCACATTCATGTCCAAATCGGGCCTGTTTCCACACTGTAGGGGTTCTATAAAAAAAAACAAGTGTCCCAAAACCAAGCCCTGTGAAACACCTCTTGACACAGCTTTCAATTTGCAAGAGCAGCCATCAATCATTACCCTTGGTTTCCTGTTACTAAGCCAACTTTGGATCTGATTTAACATATCCTGTATCCCATGGGCTTTACATTTTTGACCAGTCTGCCATGTGGGACCTTGTCAGATGTTTATTTTTTTAAATCCATATAGACAAACTCCACTGCACTGTCCTTATCAATCCTTCTTGTTGCTTAATAGAA